TCTGAAGAGTGCCTGTCATACGGCTCAATCGTGGGCCACCACAAGGCGGCGAAAACGACTAGGGGCACATCCCTTTGCAGCTATTAAGAGGCATGCGAGGCCATCTCCGGAAACGTAGAGGGAAAAGAGCGTCCGGGGGAGAGGGAGGAGCTATGATAAACAGGCCAGTGCAAGACAGAAGGTTAATAAATAAATAGTAAATTAAGATCCTCGTTCCCTTTTCTTACTTATTGCTGTGCTGTCCAGTCCTGTGAAGGAACGCATTCAACGTTGCCCGTAGGTCCTCGCTGATTTTTTCCTGCAAGAGAGACAATCCGTCAATTGAGCACGCAAGCGATTTGGCCGGCTCTTTTAGGGAGACGTTGGGGGGACAATCCCCAAGCTGAGGATGGCTATCCCTCTAGTCCATGCAGAGATCTAGGCATGCGTTGTGTGCGCAGGCATGCACACGCGTGGAACGGGCACGCACGAGAGCACTTACCGTCGACCTCTTCCGCAGGAAGGCGTCGGCCTCGTCTACGAACAGCAAGAGGCTGGAAAGAAGGAAAAGAAAAAGGGGGTTCGTGAGATGACCTGAACTGCATGGGGCAGCCTGAGCAAAAGGCAGTAGAAAATAGCTTGAAGAAAGGTACAGCGTTAGCAGGATTCAGGCGCACAAACCTTGCCATCGCTTCCCTCCCTCCCACAGCTGAATTTTAAGACATAGTAGTTCAGGGCGGACAATATTTGAAAGCTAAAACAGTGAGTGTCCAGATATTAAAAGAGAATTCGAGACGTATTATGTTAAAAACGGTGAATACAATCAATACTAAAGACCCCTTTAAAAACAAGAGAGCACAACAATCTGTTTAAAAAACAACCCCAAAACCCCTCTCAGGCTGCCAGCCACTAAGGAAGAGCCTGCCTGAAGAGAAAAGCCTTTGCCAGCTTGCAAAAGGACAGCAAAGTCTGGCCTCCAGTGGGAAGGAGTTCCAAAGTCCGGGAGCCAACCACAGAGAAGGCTCATTCCAGTGTCCACACCACAAACGCATGTGAGGATGGTGGGATTGCAGAAAGATTTTGGATGACAAAGAGGTGATAAAACAAAATGTTACAGTTGACGCACCCATCCCCTGCAAGAGAAAAACAAGCCAGATTTCCTGCTTATTATGTTGTATGAATTGGGCCGAAGAAGCAACGGAGCTTGTTTGGAAAGCCACGGTGAGTGGATCGCCCATCACGTCCCCAGAACCGTGTACCAGCCGGCGCGACCCGCTTTCCCAGCAGGCCACGAGCGAGTGAATAATTGATTCCGTGCGCCAATCCATTTTTAAACACCCCGATGTTCTTTTTCCCCCCAGCTTCCTTGCCACTCACGTCCCTCCCTCGTTTGCAAAGAGAGAGGAAAACAGAGGGGGGTGGTGGAAGGCTGCCAAACTCTGCCCACCCAAGTTTGTTTTGTTGGCCCGAGCTCTTCAATATTTTATTTTATGGGGCTTCCCCCCCCTCCCTTGTTTTTCCTTTGTCCCTCCGAGGGAAGAAAATGTGGCAGATAGAAATGTTCGGGTGATGAATGTGACGGCGAATCGGCCTGGACGGGGAGAGCGGGCGACTGTCAGGTCTCATCAAGGGGCACATACATCACCCATTAGCTTCGCTGGATGCCATTGCTGGATCTTCCTTGGTTTACTCTCCACCCACCCCAAACAGAGACAGCAGCTAAACACACCCAGACCCCAGCCCTCTTTTATTAGGTTTTTAATGGCCATGCAGGGGATCGTGATTGTGCCAAAGTGGTGGAAAAACCCAGTAGCTTGGTTACTCGAACAAGCTTTTTTTTGACGCTGCGGCTGAGAAATTATGGGAAAACCGACAGAGAAGCAGGAAGCGCCCTTCAGCACCTTGGAGAGCTCCAGGAAAATGGAACCACCCTGGATCACGCCTGTCATCTCTTAAGAGGCAGTGGTTCCCAACTTTGGGTAACCCAATTGTTCTTGGACTGCAACTCCCAGAAATCCTGGCCAGCACAGCTGGTGGTGGAGGCTTCCTGGGAGTTGTTGTCCAAGAACATCTGGATGACCCAAGGTTGGGAACCACTGTCTGAAAAACTTGTGGGCCCCAGGATGTAATGCTGTTCTGAACCACACTGGCCAATCCTAGAATTACAGAGTCGGAAGGGGGCCTCGAAGGTCATCCAGTCCAACCCCCCTGCTCAAGGCAGGAATCCAAATCAAAGCAGATCGGAGAGAGGGCGGCCCAGTTTTCTCTTGAAGGCCTCCAGCATTGGGGCGCTCACCCCTTCCTGAGGTCATGGCTTCCACTGTCGTACTGCTCTAACAACTGAGAACTTTTTCCTGATATTTTCCTAAATCTGGCTTCCTGTTTTCAGCAACAAACTTTTTCCTGATATTCCGCCTAAATCTGACTTCCTGTTTTCAGCAACACCTCTACCTTTCAGCCCCTTGCTACAGCCTTTTTTTTAAAGCAGACAAAATGAAAAGAAAAAACAAGAAACGAAGAACAACGTCCAGATAAACCGACTGTTATTTGTTGTCGTCCCCATCAAGGGGGGGGGGCGCAAGACGACGACGTATCTTACGCTTTTGTTGAAAAACAAACAAACCCATGACATTGGGAAGCAGAACAACCCTCCCAATTACTCGGGGGCAAGCTTCGTCATCCACGTAGAAGAGGACTAAGGAAAGCCAATCCATCCACTCAGAGGGCTTGTCATCCAGACTGCCAGCAGCTCTCTGGGGCTCCCAGCGGAGCAAGCGAGTGAGCGACGGACACGTCTTTTCCATCACTCACCCACTATGTTCCTGTCGCTCAGTGTTGCTCGGATCTCTCCCTAAGGAGAAGCGCCGAGAATAAGAGGACGCTCCCTCCTCACTGAGTCAGAGCATTCGTCCAGCCAGCTCAGTGGAGACTGAATCTCTCTCTCCTTTTCTTAAGCCAGAGGGAAGAAAGTCCCCCCCCCACGGCCTTTGGGAAAGGGGAAGAGCCGACTTACCCTCTCCGACTCGTGTTCGCCCAGTCAAAGACCTTGTGCATGGCCGTCACTCCTTCCCGCCCCATGGGGGCAACATCGCCACCAGTCATGATGGCATAATCCATGCTGGAATGCAGGGCTAATTTCTGTAGCAGAGGAGGTGGTGGTGAGAGACAGGAATGAGGGGTCAACAGCTGTACAATGATTAAATTTTCCTCTTGTCTGAATAAGACACAGTTCCAAGAGCACCAGCGGATGCAGGAAATCTAGTAACCCCCCCTCTCTCTATAGCATTATTTCTGGTTCCCCCTAGTGGCCAGTTCTGATAATGCACCATGGAAACACATATATCTGGTTTTTTTTAAATTTAATACATTTTATTTAATATTACAAAGTCCCACAACGCCTTAGCAGGCCGGTTTAGCATTTACCCTGCTAGCAAAACCAGAATGTGTGATGCAAGGGGGGAAAAAGCAGAACAGTTTAATTCAAACTAACCAGCCTTGCCTACCTCTGTAATTTAGAAAGGGTTACAGAATTCTGGGTTTTCTTCTTCCTAGCTTTAGCAGTTAGACTGCCTGTTATATGCTGATTGTTCCCCCACCCCACAAATTTTAAAAAGCCAACAGTAAATAGCGCCCGTTACAAGGCATTGGGGGGGGTGGGAGAAACACAGCCTGGACTGTAATGCTAGTAATCACATCGCCTGCAGGAAACCCTCCCTATGACACAAACACAGGGAGACGGGGGCTACCTTGGCAAAAAGGGTCTTCCCAGTCCCTGGGGGCCCATACATCAGGATGTTCCGGTACAGGCTCCGGTTATTTCTCGTGTTCCGGGTGGCAATGGCAATGTCTCTCACCCGCTCCTCCAGCTTGGGCTGCAAAAACGAAGGGGAGACGGCTCAGACAAGCAAGCCATGGGGCGAAGAAGGAGTTCAGGGTGACGGGAGAGCACCCATCGTTGCCGGCCCCAGATGCCAACTGGCTGCCCCTTGCGAGGCAGGTTCGAGACAGCCCAGGCTTTCTCCACGGCAACCCCTTTCGAGGCTGTGGGTCAGGAAAAGTCAAATCCCTCCTTACACATCATGCCATAGCGGACTCCAGCCAAAAGTCCCCTGCCTGGGCTTGAACCCAGAGGGGGTCAAGAAGGAGCAGCCCTTCCCACCATTTTCCATGTCACTCTGGGGCTCTATAACCCGCCGGAGTTACTATCCGTTGAAAACTTTGGAACCTGAAACTCAAGTTGGCTCGAGCGCGCTCCTTTCCTTCTCCCTCCCAATCCATTTTCCTTTTGTGCCATATCTTTTTGACCGCAAGCATGCTGAGCAGGGTCCGGGTATCAGGGTTGGTTTTTACCCACCACCACATTGCCGGGTGGAGAGTGCGAGTCAACTCGTTTTAAATCAAGGTAGAAACAAAGCAACCGGGGTTGGGGGGGGGCAGAGGTAACTGAGAAAGAACTTCCATTTCCAAGTTACATGGATGGTTGGTAAATGACTCATCGATCCCCCCCCCTTGCAAGCTGCTGTTTTGCACCTGGCCCCGCCCACCCAGGCTGCCATTTTGCCTCTGGGGCCGGACGGGGAGGTCTTGGCGATCAAACCTACGTAGCCTGTGCCATTAGGAAAGCCAGCAAAGTCGCGACAGTGAAAATTCAGCGCTGCACCAATGCAACATGTGCTGCTACTAGTGCATGGCACAAATGGAGCGGTATATAAATCAAGGAAATAAACAAAGGTTACTTACGCTGAGGACCACGCCTTCCAGAGCATCCTGGGCCTTACTGGTCAGCCTCCTGCCAACCTGGGGAAGAGAGAAAAGAGAAATGAGAGATGCTAAAGAGGAAATCTGGACCACAAAGCTGACAAGGAGGGGAAAATGGGTTTGTTTGAAATGTGGGGCTGGAGGAGATACCTTGTGGATACCCTGGAAGGCCAGAAAGACAAACCCGTGGGTCCTAGATCAAATTGAGCCTGAACTCCCTCTGGAGACCCAAACGCTGAAACTGAGGCTGTCCTATTTTGGGCCCATCCTGAGAAAGCAGAGTTCTCTGGAAAGGGCCATCGTGCTGGGAAAAGTGAAAGGCAGCAGGAAAAGAGGAAGACCCCCCCAATACGGGATGGATCGACTCCCTAAAAGAAGCCACAGGCTTGAGCAAAAGCGGAACAGGGCCATTGAGGACGGGATCTTTCGGAGATGGCTCACTCATTGGGGGGGGCACAGTCGCCGTAAGGTGGCCTGAACTCCAGAGAGCTTTCTGCCCGCCGGCCCCCAAAAGCCGAGGCCGCGCAGTTACCTTAATGGGGTGCTTGAGCGCTTCCAACACGGTGATGCGGGACGTCTCCCTCACTAAAGAGGGCTTGCCCAGGCGGGCTTCTATATACCGACCGGCCACGGCGGTGGCGTTCTTGGCGCTGTAAATGCCCACGGCCAGAAGGGTCAGGCCCGCCACCTGTCAGAAGGAAGAAAGATGCGGCATCACTCAAACAGCAACACACAAGCTTGGCTGTTTGTTTTAATGCCTTTTTTTTCTCATTCCATGGGACCACATGGCTACCCCTCCCGCCACCTGTCAGAAGGAAGAAAGATGCGGCATCACTCAAACAGCAACACACAAGCTTGGCTGTTTGTCTTAAAGCCATTTTTTTTCTCGTTCCATGGGACCACATGGCTACCCCTCACAGGGTTTTCCAGGTAGAGAAGACTCAGAAAATGGTCTTCCCCTTCCCTTCCTCCAGGGGGCGCCCTGGGACTGCTGTGCAGCTGGCCCAAGGCTACCCAGGTTGGCTTTTCTCACAGGAGATATAGAGTAGGGCAGTGGTCCCCAACCGTGGGCCTCCAGATGTTCTTGAACTACACCTCCCAGAAGTCTTCACCACCACCTCTGCTGGCCAGAATTTCTGAGAGTTGAAGTCTTAAAACATCTGGAGGCTCAAGGTTGGAGTCCACTGGAGTAGGGGATTCAAACGTGCAGCTGGCCCAAGGCTACCCAGGTTGGTTTTTCTCCCAGGAGATGTAGAGTGGGGGATTAGAACTCCCAACCTCTGCAGCCGAATACCTAAACCGCTGAGCTATTCAGCCAGCAATACCCTCGGAGGCAATATGTAAAGAAAACTAGCCATGGGCTCAATGTGCAGCTGGCCCAAGGCTACCCAGGTTGGTTTTTCTCCCAGGAGATGTAGAGTGGGGGATTAGAACTCCCAACCTCTGCAGCCGAATACCTAAACCGCTGAGCTATTCAGCCAGCAATACCCTCGGAGGCAATATGTAAAGAAAACTAGCCATGGGCTCAATGCTTCTTAAGACCTAAACCACTGAGCTATTCAGCCAGCAATACCCTCGAAGGCAATATGTAAAGAAAACCAGACATGGCCTCAATCCTTCTTAAGAGAGGCTGCAGAAAGGTTTCTGCCCCGAGATGACTGCAGTGGGTGGAAATGAGAGACAATCAGGAGATTGTTCAGCCCCGGCAAGAGATCAGTATCACAGCCCCCCCTTCTGGATGGCACCCCTCCAGTCTTCTCCATCAGAACAGATTCATTTTCCATCTGGAAGCCGGCAGCTACGGCAGCTTCCCCTTCTTGGCTGCTTATTTGCAGGTGGTGCGTTGCCGAGGGGGGGAACACAAGACATGGTCACCAAAACCACCCAGACGGTTGCTTAGCAACCCGGGGGGAGGACTCCCTCAATTCCTGGCCCCTATCCATCCGCTGCCAAAGCGAGCCGAACGGCTGAAAGAGGCGCTGGGCTTGACGCGGCGAGACCCGCACGGCCTCTCCCCAAGACGCCCGTTCCATTTAACGCCTGAAGGAAGATACACAAGGATGATGCTCCCAGGTGCCCAGGAGGAGTAAGACAAGCGCATCAGCCATGCTTCTGCAGCTTTCTCCCCACACCAACAGGGGGCAGCTCTGGAGCAACTCTGATAAAAACCACACGAATGAAAGACGCAACGTGTGTTCTGGAAAGATGCTGTAGAAGGAAAATATCATCCCTCCCTCCCAGAAGGGGAATCAAACTCCCAACTCCTCGCTCTCTTTAGCCAGAGACTTACAAACCACTCAGAGTCTCTGCTTTTTGCTCTCAGTGCCTAAGGCGGTACCCGTCAAAGAAACAAAGAAATGTACTCCCAATGGGGAGAAAAAGTTCGACCGAGTGCTTTTCATGCTGAAGCTCCAAAATAAGTTCCCCAGGTTCCCGGCCTCAGACTTGAAACCAAGGAAAGCGAAGGAAGCCAAGCACGTTCAAGCTTATGGCGGAATCGCTGGCGGCTTACCGTGGCCGTCACTTTGTCCCAGTCTGTAATGAAGGCACGAAATCCTTCTCCAAACAATGTTCCGGCTGTCCTAGCGTCATGAGAAAAGAGAAGTCGTAAGAGATAAGAGCTGAAATATTCATATACGTGCCGTTTTCTGGTCCTGTAAGGAAGGATCGGTGCCTGCATTTAGCCAGGTTCAGCTAAAAGCATTCCAGTCCTCTTTTGTTATCCCGATACAGGGAAGAGAGAGGAGTGAAACGGGCTTCCCCGTGATGCTGTGGAACGGACACGTTATGTTCAGCGGATCACGAGGGAAACAATGATACTGGGGGGCCGCGGGCACCCCATGATGTCTCCTGACCCACAGAAATAGAAAACACCACACCTCTCCAGCTGACGGAGGCCAGTGACTCAAGACTTCATGAGGACTGGGAGCATCCACTCCGGGATGGAGTCGGAACTTTGAAAGCCGCAAGCACCTTCCGTCAGAGCCAGTGCTCTGGACGGCTCTTGCGAAGTTCGTGAGAGACCCCAAAAGGGAGGCCCCCGTGCCTTGAAAATGGGAGGGAACAGCTTTCCACTACACCCAGGTATGGCTTCTGACCCTAAAAACTTTTTTTTAAATCAGCGAAATCCAGACTTCACATAAGACACCGATATGCCATGCCATGATTGTAAAGGAAAGAGACTTTGAGGCCATGAGCACAAACAGTTCTAAAATGTCTGCGTTATGGCCAACAGCCAGGAAAGACAAGTTGGAGACTACGAAGGAAGGAAATGAAAATGTTAGGATCGCCGGGTGTACCCACGGTTGGAATGCCAGCTATCGTCACAATCAGCCCATCTCAAGCTACTGAACAGAATACGGATCTTGCGCCCATGAGGTTCCTCCTCTTTACCCATTTCAGTGGCGTTCAGACCTACTTGAGAGAATCCAGCACTGTCTGGCGGTGCTCGGCTGCTTTTAACCGGATCTGCTCCCGTATGAGGTCCGCGTTCTCCCTCTCTGCCTTGGCCCGGGCGCGGGCCTCGGCCTCAATCCGCAGCATCTCGTTCTTGTGCCTCAGTTCCATCTCTCGCTCCACCGTAGCTGCGAACGACACGGGGGTGAGCGCAATCCCCTATCTGGTCAAAACAACCACTCTAGGCCATGATTGTAAAGAGACTTTGAAGTCATGAGCATAAGCTGTTTTAAAATGTCAGCGTTATGGCCAACAGCCAGGAAAGAGGAAAAGACAAAATGGAGGCTATGAAGGAAGGAAATGAAAATGTTAGGATCGCCGGGTGTACCCACGGTTGGAATGCCAGCTATAGTCATGATCAGCCCATCTCAAGCTACTGAACAGAAAATGGATCCTGCGCCCATGAGGTTCCTCCTCTACCCATTTCAGCGGCGTTCAGACCTACTTGAGAGAATCCAGCACTGTCTGGCGGTGCTCGGCTGCTTTTAACCGGATCTGCTCCCGTATGAGGTCCGCGTTCTCCCTCTCTGCCTTGGCCCGGGCGCGGGCCTCGGCCTCAATCCGCAGCATCTCGTTCTTGTGCCTCAGTTCCATCTCTCGCTCCACCGTAGCTGCGAACGACACGGGGGTGAGCGCAATCCACCTGGAATCGCCCTGACACCTTGATTTCGTTGACCAAACAAAAATATCACCCACTGGGTTTTGTTTACAGCTGCCCCCTGAAACCCTGTGGGTGGTCAGACCTTGTCGGGTTTTCATCCTACACAAACTGAAGTGGGGTGTGAGGGTTAGACTGGGGGACCGGGGACGGGGGAAATTGTGAGTTTTCCTCTCCACTGAGTCACAAAATTAATGGATAGCCTAATGTTAGCCTCACTCTCTCTCTCTGGCAGCCTGAACCCCGTCAAGCAAGGTGGGAGGAGATGTTTTTTTTCTGTGCACATATAACTCACACACATTTTTTCTGGTCTCGGGTCTATGGCATAGAAGGTTGACTTTGGAACTGCTGGATGACAGCTCAGGGGCTTAGGTCTCTAACTACGGAACCAGAGGCTGGGAGTTCGAATCCCCGCTGG